CGATCATACGAAAAATTGGATTTCTAGAACAACATTTTCCAGACAAGCAAAAATGATGGTGACGACGAAAATATAGGCAACTACTTTTTTACCTATTTTCTTCTATTTTAGGATAATATATACTATGGAAAATTATATATATAAAATAAATTATTTTAATTATATATTTTTCAAACTGCTCTTTTCAAACGTATTATCAATAATAAAAGAAAATAATATCCAGAATTAATCGTTCAAAAGTCAATATATTATGTATATGAATTTCGTGTTTTTGTTATGGTAGCAAATGTTTTCTTTCGAGAGAGAAAATCGTAAAATTTCCCTTCAGCTAACTTCCTGGCATTACATTAGTTTTGGGCTGGAGATTTTGCTGAAAATGGAACTGAAACGATATGTTTTGTCTTTTAGTTTATAAAGATAAAATAATACTTTTTTTTACTTGTATGTTTTACACACTATAGCTTTGATTTATACGTTAAAAATTTCATCACTTGTTTAAACTCTTTTCTTGCGTACAGAAAACAATTGAGAAATTTCTTTCTTTCAGCTTTTTGTTTTCTTGCTAATAATTTTACAATTTTGCGTGGGTGAAATGAGTGTGATTAAAAATTCGGTTGATTGTAAAGGTTGTCCTCGTAAGAAGGTGAAGAATGATAACTCATTTTATTTAATGAAACGATTAAATCTATTCTATTTCAATTTTAACTTGCAGCGCCAAATGTCCAAAGTTCGAATTAATCAGCCTGATAATCGTCCAGCTCCGTTACTCCGTTACCCAGCTAAAAAAACGAGTTGCAAAAGATCAGCAAGCATGTTTTTTCATGTATCCGTATCTATTTTAATTTGGGCTATTATCGTAATTGGAATATTACATTATAAAAAAATATCTCCAAAAGATATTCATATGGAAGGATTTCTAGCGAAAATGAAAGAAAGTAAATTCGATTCGAATATTTTCTTTTATATTATTTGCGAAATCTTAAGAACAAATTAGTTTGGCAACAATGATTTCTTTTTTGTCTTGTTTTAAGCGAACTTAATTTTCTTAGGATTCGTAAATAGTGGGAAGTAAATTAGTTTGAATTATAAGACAATTTAATAATTTTTGCATTAATTTTCAGTGTCCGATCGCTTTTTTCGCAGCTTTGTAACTATAAAGTAATCGAAGCTCTCAAGACTAAATTTGAAAAATAAAAAAAGCATTTGGCTTAGACATTTTTTTTTTTTTATTTAATTACTTTATTGGCTAAGAACTGATAATTTTATATTGATGCACTTCAAGTCGTATGGTTTTTAAGCAATCATAATATTGTAAGTAGTGGCCTTTTTTGTTGTAAGGATAGAAACTTGGGAGATCCTAAGCTATAGGATGCAATTAAGAAAAAATTGAACAAACATTAAAAGTGAAGTCAAAACTGGCCAGTTCATAACATCAAAATTTATGAACAAGAACATCAAAGAATAAAAATCGATCACGCTACTAGATATATTGGACCTTATTATCGACAGACTCGATCCGTTCAGCTAAGAAGAGAAAGCTATAGAATGCTTATTGTATGTAGTAAGATAGATATATGAGCAGCAAGTATTGTTGACAGCTTACGCTTATTAAACATTTCAGTTCTCAAATAAAAATTACGTTCCTATATATCTATCATATATAACATAATCTGAACGGTACAAGTGGGAAAATAAATCAAAGTGAATAGAAAGACTGTCAATACAGGAAATACAATATAAAGATGTGAAAATGTAGAAATAAATATGGCCATTGGTCGGAAAAATAGTTCATCAATCCTCATAACCTAATTATATTTTACGGGACGATCAGAAACCATTATTGGCTCTCCTTTTTTCTTCTTTTGATTTGACCAATCACTCGGGGAATGGCCTCAAATCGAAAGAGGTGGATGGTTGCCGCTGCCAGATGGATGCGCGTCGAGTTGATAAGCTTTATGTCTCTATCGACTGAGCATGCGCTATTGCTACGATGTTCGCATCGGGAACTCAAGCAAATTATTCAGCAAAATTTACTTCAGCTAGATCCTTTGACGGTCGTTCTTCCACCGTCTCTTCATAAACTAATCGTATTTCTTCAGTATGTTCGCAGTTGCTATCACTTATCACCAACGATGGTGAAACTAGTTCCTCTTTCTTCGATTTTTCTGCATTGGGTTCAGTAGAAGCAGAATTCCCCTCAGTGTTGCCAATTTTTGAGTCCTTGCATACATTCGATTGTTTTGTTAAAGGCCAGGCGTCCATCGCCTCTTCGGTCAGTGCGGCTGTTGTCATCACGTTTCTAGGAGTTCGGCGTATTGCTATAGGCTTGGCTACCCAATCTTTTTTTGGGTGACTGCTTACTATTGTCGATGTTGACGATGATAAATATTTGCTTATTGAATTTTGTGAACCAGTTGATTCTCGCGGATGCCTTCTTATCATTATAGATGTGAGAGGACGACTTTTCTTTTTCGGTGATTCAAATTTTTCATCCGAACTAAGTATTTCTTTATCTAAAATTATATCCCTGGATAAAATGTTTGTGATCTTCGAACAATTTTCGTTCATATTCGACTTCTTTTCCAATCCGTGATTAGATGTAAATTGTTCTTTGTTGAATTTATTTACGAGTTCAGCCTTTTCTTTGCTGACAATAGAATTTTCTGTCTTCTGCACGAATTGTGCTTCTAATCGATTCGCGTTGTTTTCACTCGCTTTGGCAATGATATCGTCCGTCTTTTTTTGGAAGTTTTGTGTTAGCTGCTTTTTTCTATCAGAACTGGTATTTTTTTGCTGGACATGTTTTTCCAAACCAGGCTTACCTTTGACGGTTATCGATGTGGTCACTTTATAATTTGAATTTAATGTTGTATTACTTTGCATATCATTCTTCGAGTTCTTCATATCTTCTGTTGCGGTTTTCTCTTTACAGACTTTCCTTAATGCTTCGTTGCCACTATCAGTAGTGGCTTCGTTATAATTTTTTTCTTGAAACGCCTCATTTGGACATATTTTTTTTTCGATTTCTTGCTTAACTTTTTTAAACTTGGTTTCGCCTTGCGCGTCGTTTCCAGTGAATTTTTCCGAATGCAAATTGTCTTCTCGCATTTTGTACATCGTCTCTTTATCCGCGTTATTATCAGCTGAAGGATTTCTCAATTTGTGAGATTCATTGTCTTTCGATTTCTTCGCTTTCTTTGTATTAAGTAGCAAATCTTCAGACAGAGCAGCTTTCAACACAGCCTCCGACTGCTCGTATATGTCACCTAATTCTCCTTCTTCAAAAGTAATTAATGAGCAGAAGCCATCAGTGCTTGAGACGACCACAATGCGACCATCGCTAGACCAAGTAATATCAGTTAGGCGAGTGTAATGAATATTTGATATTAATCCGAAGGGTGATTTCTGCTGAGTATCGTAGAAGTAGACAGAACTACGCGTAGCAACAGCAAATATCATTCGATATGGCAAGGAAATGACTGGAGGATTTTTCTTTGCATTATAAGGTCTTAATCGATATAAGAGCGGAGAACAACGCACTGCTATTGTGTATTGATCAGAACAAGGCAAGACAATCGCCGGTTGCCGAAAATTATAACGAGTGAAAGCGTAGGTGGCATGCAAAGGTTTAGAGACACTTTCAAAGTCTGTTATGCCGGCTGGGGTTAATAATAATTTGCCATCTGGCGTAAAACTAAGGCGACGAAAAAATGTTTGCAACGTATCATCGTGAAAGATGCGCATATGCTTCCCGTGCAGTGCATGACCCTCGGGTAAAGGCAAAATACTTTTGTTAAGACGATATAAAATCTTCTTGGTTTGTATATCAAAAATGCGCAAATATCGATCAGTGCTTAAGGTCGCTATGTATTGATTTTTTGGATCCCAAGCTACCCCTTGCACAAAGCTTTTGTGGTCGCTTAAGATGGCTATCGATTTACCTTTCTGCACCTCCCATATCATCGCTGAATTATCTACTGACCCTGACACCAAATATAATGAATTGGGTGACCAACTTAAATCGTAAACATCTTCCATATGACCACGCAACACTTTCAACGTTACCCACGTCTCCTTATCTTGTTCATTATTATTGTCCAATATGTTTAATTGTTCCAAATCTGATTTCTGCTTCCATATGAAAATAACACTTTCATCATCTCCCGACGCAAGCATTTCCCCGTTAGGCGACCACTTCACTACATTAACTGCCCTTTGATGTCTCGTTAAATCAGCAACCAAGTCCAACTCAACATCGTTTCTTGTAATTTTCATATACCAAATTAATACGTGGGCATCTGTGCCAGAAGACGCTAAGCGATGCACGTCGCTTCTTTCCTTTTTTGTTTGTATATCAACACTTAACACAGGATCACGATTATGCCAGGATATTTCAGGAATTTTACATTTCATTTTAACAATTCTCTCAAATATATGATTCGCGACGCTAATCTCATATAGATATCTTCTTCTTCTTTTTGTTGAATATTCAGCAAGGCAAACACCACTTGATTCACTGCGTTGCAAAAACAAAGGCACAGTGTGCACACAAACTTCCATGTCTGCGCCTTAATAACAATTGACAATTAATTTTTTATTCCTGTTTGCTGGCGCTAATAAATGCTTCAGCACCTCGCACGTGTAGTGTTCAAGATTATATATATTTACATATATTTTTCTTTTAAGTGAATTTTATTATTAAAGTATTTTTCATGGGTTTTTATATCGTTGTTAATTTTACTACTACTATTATAATTGTCATCATTACTGTGAACTTTTACATACTTTAATTTTTATTTATGTATTTAATGATGGAAAGGCAATGTCCTCAACAAGTAACAATGGTTAGCTGTGGGAAAAATAGATGAGGCCCTTGACCGTGACATTGTATATGTTTAAGCCATGTGCATTGAAAAAAGAAAGGAGCCGCCAAATTTTCAAACAGAGGTATATCTAGGATGGTGAGGCCAGGAAAAGTAAACAAGAATAATTTGCGAAGCACTATAGCAAATAAGCGTTTATAGTACATCAAAACCCGATATCTTTCTTTCTTTCAATGCTTCAAGAATGTGACCATTTCACATTAAATTTTGTCGATAGTTGAAACATTAAAAAGCAGAAAATAGTTTCATACTGCAAACATTTCGTTTCGCAGCAGCTTATAACTTCGTTTTGTTTTCACTTGCTATGTTCAATGATATGAAAATAGAAAGCAAACCAATTTGCATTTTGCAATATTTCTAATAAATGCTTAAATGGAGTTTGTTTACGGAAATATTCAATTATTGTTAAACAATATTTACTGTGGACAATTCTTCACTTTACGTCGCTTTCATACGTTCCCTTTTTACCTTGTTTAAAAATCAAGTCCAAAATTAAAAACAAAATGTTCTTTAAAAATACAATGTGCACATAATGCAGATAAAAAGCGTATTAAAGTTTACTTTGAAATAATTATTTCTTTTTGTTAGCGCCTTATACCGTACATTAACACTTTAGCATTTACATTCTTACAACCTGAATGAGTCACATCGATCGTTTCTATAATCTCTTCTAAATCTTCTGGTATTAAATGGACCTTCTCCAATATCATTTCCCGATGCACGCATTCTCTAAGCTCAGCTTTGGTAAATGGGTTAAAGCTAATTACATGGTCGACCGGTAAAGACTTCATAAGAAATTCGCTCTGTTCGACAACAAAATGTTCATCTCGCATCCAATTTAAGTTAAATACATAGAATATAATAAGGCGCTTCTTGCCATTGACAATTTGTTGTATTAATTCATTAACCATTTTTACGAACTCATGATCACTAGGTTTCAAATTCTCTATGATTAACAGATTACAGCCGCAGTCCGATAGCCGCTCAAGCATCACGGATAACATACGAAATTTTTTAGAATCATCTCGCACATATGTATTCCAAGCATACACACGTACGTTTTCTGGCCATGGAAAATTAGCTGCCAGACTGCCCAATACTAAACTTTTCCCAACACCGACCG